ATTGTTTCAGGATAAATGATTCGAACCCGATGCTCTTAATTCCGTTCTTATCTCTTTTGTTTTTATTTCACTCACCTGTTGTTTTTTTTATTTATCTCCAACACCTGTGGTAATGTGTGTCTACCGTGACTCGCCTCTGTTCACTCTTTGTTGCCTTGTGTTCAGTGGGGAATCTATTGACACTCGTCGACATTGGTTCTTGCTTCGGTTCATTTGCTGTTCTGTAGTTTATTTTTTTTTTTTTATTTTTTATCTTTTTTTCATTCTGTTTCTGTGTTCGTGTTTGTAGCTATTGAGGAGGGTGGGGTCTTCTCTCTTCTCTTCTCTCTCTCTCTCTCTCTCTCTCTCCTCCTACATTTTCTCAACCACCCTCTTCCTACTTCTCCCTTTCATTCTCCTAAACATCTTTCTTCTCCACTCCTCCTTCTCTCACCCCCACCCCACCCCTCATCCCCCTCCACCTCCCCACCCCCTCATCCCCCTCCCCCCCTCCCCACCCTCCTCCCAGCTGGACCCTGCCACAACAATGAATACTCCCTAAGACGTCACTGGGGCCTCAATCTTCCCCCAGCACCTGAGACCAACAAGACCCACCAATCGAGCGACTCTTCCCCCACCAGCTGTTGTTAATGAGTTTAGTTTTCCTATGGTTTATTTACAGGTTTTTTTCGGTTTTATTCGTGGTTTTGTTGTGGTTTTTGTGTATGTTATGTCTTTATTTGGTTTTATTGGTGGTTTTGTGGGTTTTAAACCGGGTTTTTATTCGTTTTATTCGTGGTTTTTGGTTTAATGGCTTTCATGTGGTTTATTTGTATGTTTTTTTTTTTTTTGGCTTATATCGTTGTGTCCGAGTGAATGACGTGTAGTTACGTTGTGTCCGAGTGGCGGATGTAGTTGCGTTGTGTCCGAGTGAGTGACGTGTAGTTGTTGTGTCGAGTGAGTGACGTGTAGTTGCGTTGTGTCCGAGTGAGTGACGTGTGGTCGGAGCCTTATCGCCCTCCTGGGATGGGTCGAGGGAGGACGGGGGAGGGGAAGGGAGATCTATTTATTTAACCAGAAATTTTGTTGAGGGGATAAAAAATGTTTGTAACAAGATCTAAGACATTTATCAAGGTCTAATCTAACCTAACCTAGAGAGAGAGCGAGAGAGAGAGAGAGAGAGAGAGAGAGAGAGAGAGAGAGGAGAGAGAGAGAGAAAGATACGTGGTTAAGAAACACGGCAGCAGAAAGAAGGTGATCCCTCTCTATATCATCTTGGGCAAAGGACGTGTGATAAATCGTAAGCCCAACTTGGGATATTCGGAGGGGGTATTTGTGATCCCGATGAAGCGCTGGTAAACACACACACACACACACACAGGTGAACCAGGTAGCCACTATTCCAGGTATCATATCTTAAATCATTAGTCTTATCAGCGAGAAATTTCCAAAATTTACCGCTATCTCCTCTTCTTCCTCTTTCTCCCCTTCCTCCTCCTCCTCCTCTTCCTCCTCCTCCCTCTCTTCCTTACGTTCTTATAGGAGGGAGGGGGAGGGGAGAAACGAAGGTGGAGGAGGGAAGAAAGGAGGGGATGAGATGGAGGCAAGTAGGAGGGAAGGAAGGAAGGTAGGAAAGGGTAAGAAAGGAAAGGTGGGTGAGGGAAGGGCTTGTAAGATTTGCCAAGAAAAGGGAAGAGAATGGAAGGTAAAGGAGAGTGAGAGTGGGGAAAAGAGACGAAGGAAAAATAGGAGGAAAACTGAAGAGAAAGAGGGAGGGAAGATGGAGAGAGGGTGAAATCGAAGGTATAAATGAGGGTGGAGGGAAAAATAAGTAAGTAGATAGAGAGAGACGAGAAAATGAAGTCAGAAAAAGAATCAGACAACATCAAGAAGAAATAATAATAATAAATAAAGAGAAGATAACGGGAAATGAGAAAGAGAATGAGGAAGAAAACTGAAGATATCTGAAGAAAAGAAGAAGATTGCTTAGGAAGATAACAGTATGAGGAAGAAAATGCGGTAGAGGAGGAGTAGGAGTGGGGGAAGGAGGGGCTCTGGGGGTAGAAGTGGCGGTGAGACACATGAGAGAGAGAGAGAGAGAGAGAGAGAGAAGAGAGAGAGAGAAGAGAGTGGTACTTGGTGGTCACTGGTGATAGCTGGGGGAGGGTATTGAACGAACCCACTAAGAAATACGATGTGGGAGGCCAACTCAGGAATATTGTCAGGGTAACTTGGCCAGAAGGCGTCGAGTTGAGCTACAGTCTAGTGGTGGTAGTGGTGTGTTGGTGGTGGGGGCAAGTGTTTGGTTATGATGGCACGAGAACCTCCTCTGCCCTTCAGCGTCCCTCTTCTTCTTCTTCTTCTTCAGCCCCTCGTCTTCCTTCAACCTTCCTTCTCCTCTTCTAACCTCCTCTTCTTCACCCCCTCCTCTACTGCGAGATGAAAAAAAAAAAAATATCCCAATTCACGTCGTGACTTGAACGGCGCTCGGAGAATTAAGAGAGAGGCGCCTCATAGAACCGGGAATAGCTGCCCAGTATAACGCCCTGGTACCGCCGCAGCTGATGTGTTTGCCGAACCAGGGTCTTGAAGGGGAGGGAGGGGGGGGGGGAAGGAAGGGGTGAGGGAAGGGAAGAAGGAGGGAGAGTGTTGGGAATGAGGACTTGGTTCTCAGGTATAGTAAAGAATCCGACTGGTTGAGTGTTTAATATGAAGGACTTTGGGTAATGAAGGATGGTTGAGTGAAAGGAGTGTGTAATTTGGGTTGATGTACCGTCATTTTGGTTGAGGTGATGGGTAAGGGGAAGGAGGAAACTTAAATGATTCTTTTATCCGATTGGTTTTTTTGGGAGATTATTTTAACAAGGAAATTTATGTGTTTTTTAGTCTCTCTCTCTCTCTCTCTCTCTCTCTACAGCATCTTCCTCCACCTCTTGCTTCAACTATTACCATCATCCCCTCCTTCTACTCACCTGTCCTTCCTTCCTTAATGTTAATACTTTGTGCTGCACCTGGGAGCTTGAAGGACCTCTCATCAACGTTAATGGCTCCTGCATTGTCCGGGTCTTAGTGACTGAGCTGCACCACTAACACCTAGGCTCAGCTCACTATGTTATACCCACCCTCTGCCCCTGCCCTTCTCCAACCCCTTGCCCCCTCTTGCCCCACACTCCACGCCACCCCGTCACCTCCCGCCCCGGTCCATAAAGCTACTTACTCGTATGTACGTCACTTAATAACACGTACGGTACCACTGTTGACACCTCCTCCAGCACATCACTAACATTAACTACTCATTATTTCTTCTTCTTCTTCTTTCTTCTTCTTCTTCTTCTGCTTCTTCTTCTTCTTCTTCTTCTTCTTCTTCTTCTTCTTCTTTCTCTTTCTTCTTCTTCTCCTCGGACCTCTCTCTTTCTCTGTAGTGGTATAGGTGGTAGTAGTAGTAGTAGTAGTAGTAGTGGTGTAGTAGTAGTAGTAGTGTGGTAGTAGTGGTAGTGGTAGTAGTGGTAGTGGTAGTAGTGGTAGTGCTGGTAGTAGTGGTCAACAACCTCACTAATGGTAGTAGCAGAGGGTGGGGGACTTACCCAGAGAAAGTGTCATATGCATTTCCCACGCCACTTTCCTCTGGCCAGCCGAGGGAGGAGGAGGCAAGGGAGGAGAGGGAAGAGAGAAGGAGAGGGAAGAGAAGGAGAGGAAGAGGGGAGATAGAGGGAGAGGAGAAGGAAGAGGGGAGATAGGGAGGGGGAGAGGAAGAGGGGAGATAGGAGGAAAGGAGAGGGGAAAAACAGAAATGAGAGGGAAAGGAAGGAGAGGGGAGGAGAAAAGAAGAATAGAGATAAGAGGGGAGGAGAGAGAGAGGGAAGAACAGAGATAAGAACGGAGTAAAGGGAAGAAATAGGAAATAAGGAAAGAGGAAGGGAATGGGCAAAAGAAGAGGAAAGAATATAGAACGGGAAGGGTGGAGAGAATGAATTGATAGGAGGGAGAGAAGGAAGACAGAAGGTAGAGAGATGAGAGAATGGGGTGAGAGAAGGAGATAAAGATCGTAGAAGGATCGAATAAACACACACACACACACACTCACACCTATGTACATGAGTGGAGGTGTACACGACCCCTCCCCAGTATTTCAAGCCAGGGTAAGTAGAGAGAGAGAGAGAGAGAGAGAGAGAGAGAGAGAGAGAGAGAGAGAGAGAGAAATCTTTCACTCTCAGGTAAATCATTGGAAACCTGTGATTGAATTTTGTGATTGATTGAAACTTTGGTTGTGTTCTCCCACGCCTATCTGACCCGCGCCAGAGGGTACAGCTGACAGGGGTGGCGTGTGGTTGTGGGAGTGTGGTTGTGGGGTGTGGTTGTGTGTGGGGTGGTTGTGGGGTGTGGTTGTGGGGTGTGTGGCTGGTTGTGGGGTGTGGTTGTGGGGTGTGGTTGTGAGGGTGTGGTTGTGGGGTGTGGTTGTGGGCTGTGGTTGTGGTTTTTATTTGTGGTTATGATGGGTTTTAGGTGCTTGGGTTGTGCAGGTATACAGAAAAGTAACCTTAAGTAACATAAAATAACATTAAGTAACATCAAGTAACATTAATTTTTATTTCTTAGTCTCTCTCGCTTAATATAATTGTCCAATTCTCTTTATTCTTCATTCCTTTCATTCTCCCCTGGTTACATTTTATTTCATTATCTCTCCTTATTCCTACTTTATTTGTGTCTTTCTCCCCTTTTCTACTCATTGTGGTTTTCTCTTTTTCCTACTCTTATTCTCTCTCTCTTTCTTTCCCCTTCCATATTCATTCATTATATTGGCTTATCTTTCTCCTTTGTTGTGATTTTCTCTCTCTCTCTCTCTCTCGCTCTCGCCAATATCAGCTGTTTCTCTTCTCTTCTCTTCTCTTCTCTTCTCTTCTCTTCTCTTCTCCCTTCCCTTCACCCACCGTCACTCACCATTACCCATCATCAGTTACCTGTATTTACTGTCACTCACTGTCACTCACCAGGTGTGTTTCTCTCTCTCTCTCCTCCAACAGTGGCGCGGGAGGGCGTGGCGGACGAGGCTGAGTACCGCCTCACACGGTACCTCATGAGTAACTACGACAAGTCGGTGCGTCCCTCCTTCAAGGCATCGATGGCCCTCAATATCACCTTTGGCCTGGCCCTCACACAGATCATTGACGTGGTGAGTACTTGGCCCTTGTGTGGCCCAGGGTATAGTGTGGTCTGGTACCTGGCAGTGTACCATAGTAGTGTACCTGGCAGTGTACCATAGTAGTGTACCTGGCAGTGTACCATAGTAGTGTACCTGGCAGTATAGCATAGTAGTGTACCTGGCAGTGTAGCATAGTAGTGTACCGGCAGTGTAGCATAGTGGCGTTGTGGCACCTGATGTACCATAGTAGTGTACCTGGCAGTGTAGCATAGGGTTGTGGTACCTGCAGTGTACATAGGTGTGGACCTGCAGTAGCATAGTGGTGTTGGGCACCGCAGTACCATAGAGTGTACCTGGCAGTGTAGCATAGTGTTTGGTACCTGGGTGTAGCATAGGTGTTGTGGTACCTGGCAGTGTACCATAGTAGTGTACCTGGCAGTGTAGCATAGGGTGTTGGTACCTGCAGTGTAGCATAGTGGTGTTGTGGTACTGGCAGTGTACCATAAGTGTACCTGGCAGTGTAGCATAGGGTGTTGTGGTACCTGGCAGTGTAGCATAGGGTGTTGGTACCTCAGGTACATAGTAGTGTACCTGGCAGTGTAGGGTGTTGTGGCCTGGTGTAGCAGGGTGTTGTGGTACCTGCAGTGTACCATAGTGTACCGCAGTGTAGCATAGGGGTGTGGTACCTGGCAGTGTATATAGGGTGTTGTGGCACCTGCGTACCAAGTAGTGTACCTGGCAGTGTAGCATAGGGTGTTGTGGTACCTGGCAGTGTAGCATAGGGTGTTGTGGTACCGGCAGTGTACCATAGTAGTGTACCTGGCAGTGTAGCATAGGGTGTTGTGGTACCTGGCAGTGTAGCATAGTGGTGTTGTGGCACCTGGCAGTGTACCATAGTAGTGTACCTGGCAGTGTAGCATAGGGGTGTTGTGGTACCTGGCAGTGTACCATAGTGGCGTTGTGGCACCTGGCAGGACAGGGACATATTGGACCAGGAACACAGTGAACCAGTATACATCTGTAACTGCCTTTAACAGCCCCAACCAGACCTCCCGCCTCATTGGTTGTCTATCGGATTCTTATAACTCTCTCTCTCTCTCTCTCTCTCTCTCTCTCTCTCTCTCTCTCTCTCTCTCTCTGAAAGTAAATCAGAGATAAAGAAAAGATTTAATAGGAGGAGAGGAGAATGAGAGAGAGTGGGGGGAGGGGGGAAAAGCGAGAGTAAATAAAAGATAAAGATGAGATTTAATAGAAAAAGAGAAAGAAAGAAAAGAAAGAGAGAGAGAGAGCACCATTTTCACAATTCTAAACAATGAACAAAATAAACAAACAAATCCAAACACCACAGTCATTTATTTTTGTTGATATATTTTTTTTCTGTTAAAGTCGTCAGGTAAATACACTCGTTAAAGGTCAAATCATTCTTATTTTTCCACTTTTTTTTAATTAATTACTTCCTCTCACCTTGACACGTGCCTTAAAGTAATGCAAATTCGGTGCCTCTAGTCTCGTGGTTTGAAATACAAACACCTTAAATAAATAAAATAATAAAAACCTGTGGATTAAAATGTTTGGTTACAGAGCCTCCTGAAGTGTTGGTAGATTTAGGGAGTGTTTCGTCTGTGTGTTTCGTCTGTGTTTCGTCTGTGTTTCCTCCTCTCTATCTTTCCTCCTCCTCCTCCTCCTTCTACTCATCTCCCTCCTCCTCCTACTTACACATCCCACACCCTCCCTCTCCTCCTCCTCCTCACCAAAATAGCACTCCGTCAGCCCAACAGCCTTACACCTGCGTCCACACACTACCATTCTGCTTACCTGCTGCCTCTCCCCTCTTCCTCCTCCTCCTCCTCCTCCTCCTCCTCTCGTCCTCCTCCCTCCTCCTCCTCCTCCTCCTCCCTCCTCCTCCTCCTCCTCCTCCCTCCTCGCCCCACCTTCAATACAAACTCAACCATGTGACCGCCTTTCCCAACTGATATTCTGAGGTAGATTAGGTTAGGTTTGGTTAGATTTGGTTAGGTCAGGTTTTGTTAGGTTAGGTTAGTATCAGTGTGACTCAATAAACCTCTTAATTACACGATTTAAAACACCTGTGGGGTACTGAAGATGTTTATTGGTTCATTTGTATATTTTACCTGGAGGAAAAAGTTATCCGGTCGATAGGGAAAATATACAGTCAATCTGGAACCCGGAAATACACACTTTTGGGAGGGAGGGAAGAGAATGAGAGGGAGAAGAAAGAAGGAGGAAGATAAAGGAAGGAGGAAAGGGAAGGAAGAAGAGGAAGGGAGGAAAGGAGGAGTAAGGAAGGGAAAGAGGGAGGAAAAGGAGGAAGGACTATATATTTTATCCTGTTTTCTTCTTCCTTTATATTATTATTATTATTATTATTATTATTATTATTATTATTATTATTATTTATTATTATTATTATTATTATTATTATTAGTCATTCATTATATACACCACAAGATACGAATTTCACTATTAAACCTCTACAATTATATCATTAGCGTTAAGTGAACATTAATCACGTCTTTAAGGTCAAGTTAGACATGACCTTTGACCTCATCTGGAGAGGTCAAATATTAACTAACCGTTAATGTTTCCCAGATCAGGTTAATTGGTATTATTGTGTGTGTGTGTGTTTTGTGTGTGTGTGTGTGTGTGTTTGGTTTGGGTTATAGAGCTATGGTTTATGGTTAGCAGTTAATGTTAGGGCAGTGATAACAGTGGATCATTGAGGGCAGGCAAGTGAGTGAAGGTTATGCAGTGTTTGACCACCACCTATCATCACCACACCCCCATCCACCACTACCACCCTATCTGCATCTACCACCCCACTATCATCACCACCACCCTGTCACCACACACCACCCACTATCATCACCACTACCACCACTAACCATCCTCTCATCACAACCACCCTACCACCACCACAACCACCCTATCACCACCACAACCACCACCACCACCACCACCACAACCACCCACTATCATCACCACTACCACCACTGTCACCACCACTACCACCCACCATCATCACCACTACCACCATAACCATCCACCTCATCACAACCACCCACTACCACCACCACAACCACCCACTACCACCAACAACCACTACACCACCACCACAACCACCCACTCATCACCAACCATCCACTATCATCACCACCACCACCATAACCATCCACTATCATCACAACCACCCACTACCACCACCACAACCACCCACTACCACCACCACAACCACCACTACCACCACCACAACCACCCACTATCACCACAACCACCCACTACCACCACCACCACCACAACTACCAATTAATGATCCGATACCGTAACATTATTCTCAACCAAAACCAAGCACCTTAACCTAACCTGACCTAACATAACATCTACAAATCTACATCGCAAAATATCGTTCTTGACACGTTATAACACCTTGTACCGTTCTTGTCCCAACGCATCAACATCATGGTTAATTCCCGTCCTGAACACGTCTCCTGGGAGTGATAAACAAGGTCGAGGTTGAAGTGGCCACCCAGACACGTGTAACCAACCTGTTTTGAGGGAACTCTGTGACCCAGAACAGCTGTGGTCGGCCTCTTCATCATGTATAAACTTCCACCATGGGGCGGCTGAGGGGAATTACCACTGACTTGTAAAAAGAAAGGAGGAAGGAGGTAGGGTCACTTGAAGCTCTGTCACTGAAGGGTTCGTCACTGAAGCGTCTGTCACTGAAGCGTCTGTCACTGAAGGTTCGTCACTGAAGCGTCTGTCACGAAGGCGTCTGTCACTGGTGGATCTCTCGTTTACACACATCAGCCCCAAAGAATATCTTCCATGGACACGAAAACCTTCTCTCCGACACTTACTCTCTCTGTGGGCTGTTGACACACACACACACACACACACACACACACACACACACACTCCCTGCAGCAGAAAACTCCCTCAGTGACTCTCCTCCCTGCTACACGTCTCTCTCATCCTGAAAAACATCTCACCTACACCAGAAACATATTCTTGTATAATATTTTTTTTCCCAGTGGAGATGAGACAACGAATATATTTATTTTCCATTCCCAGTTTAATTTCTCCGCTATTTCGTCCATCAACTTTGTGTAGAAGCCTAACTGAGTCAGATGCGGTCCTTGTACACCAGTTAGAGGGGTGAGGGGTGAGGGAAGGATGGGGAAATTTTTACCTAGGAAGCTCTGAGTTGTAGCTTTGGTGGGCCAGTGAGAAGCGCTCAAGTGTTACCAACAAAGGGAGGAGAAATTCAAGCACACGAATTGTTGAGAATCTGAGATAAGGAAACACACACACACACACACACACACACACACACACACACACACACACACACACACACACACACACACACACACACCAACACAACACAACACAACACACAACACACCTTAGAATATACCCTGTACATGTGGTGACGCGCCAGCCAGCTCTTTCATATGAGGCCGAATACCACCAAGAGGATTTAACACTACATCAAAAACTTGGGTCGTACTGCCTGCCACCAGCCACTGAACAACGGCCACTAACTCTAGCTATTAATCCTACTGCTCCACCTCCTCCTCCTCCTCCTCCTGCGACCGTATCAACCTGGGTGGTGGATTCTCAAACGTACTGTGAGTGTTGTTGGTTCTAGATAGTAGTTGGATTGAGTTGGGTTGTGGGAATTGGGTTGGGTTGGGCTGGGTCTGGCTGGGTTGGGCTGGGCTGGTTAGAGTAGGTAGAGTGGTGTTTGTGTGTGTGTGTGTGTGTGTGTGTGTGTGTGTGTGTGTGTGTGTGTGTGTGGAAGGATAAGAAGAGAGAAAGAGATAGAGAGAGAGTCAGTCGGTGCCTGTCTCTCCACACCTTCACCCTCTTCACCTTCCCCTCACCCCCACCACCCGTGTTATATCGAATTTAACCCTTGAAAAAGATATATATTAAAGCAACCAAAGTCAAAATCACCAGAAAACGCAGTTAAAAATCTAGCAATTAATGAACTACATGTGAAAAAA